ATATGTTAATGAATCTGCAAATCAGTTAGAATTATTAATTAAGCCTAAATTACTCCTTTATTTAAGGAAATAGGTTATTCAATATTATTAAAATATGTATCTCTTTAATTCAAACCGTCGGATACATGTATCTCGCGAGTAATGATACATGTATCTGACAGACAAAATATGGTATAGGATGTAATTATTGAAACTATCTTGAATTCTAGTAATTAGGTCCTAAACTAGTGGGATTTATGTAGTTTTCCCAAATATGATAGTGTTCTCTTTGTTTCAATTTATTTGTCTTACTTTCTTTTTAAATTTAAAAAATGTTTTTTTTCCCTTTTTTTTGACACTTTTTTTAATTTTAACTTTTCACATGATATATTTAAAACTACAAGATTAAATGACTTATCTTTTTTGGGTTTTCTACTAGGTCCAGTACTTGTACTGAAGCCCGATTAAATTCGTACTTTCCACTCTCCATCGCAAGCCTTGTTGGTGATTAAAGGACATTTTGGTTACATTCTACATATCTTTAGTTTTAGATCAAAAAATTAAAAGTCTTTTTTACTATCTTAAACTCCGTATCAAGTCAAAATCAGATAAACAAATTGAAATAGAGGGAGTATCTAATATTTAAAAGGTACTTAAGTTTTTTGGGCATGGAGCTTATACGTATATACATATGATGTTAAGTTTCATATTTTTCTTTTTTTATCTTGAAAGTTTCATAACGTCCCTTTTTACAACTTACAAGGCATTGTTATGACATTGATGATATCGATACGATGATCTTGTAAGTAATTAATTAAGTATCACTTCCAAGTATGTTGGCTAGTAATATTTTAACCAAAAGTATACGTATACTCTAATGAAAGTAAAAGAAAAACTTTAAAGAATAGAAAAAATGAAGCAATCTTTAGTTAAAGAGAAGTTTGAAATTTTGATCTAATTATATAAATCTTAGTCAAAAGGTTCAGTAGACATTTTTTTCCGTATGAATGAGACGACGAACAACACAAAATAAATCTAATTATATGGGTGTGTTTTGGTACAAATAAAATGTACTCTAGGGAAAAAAAAGGAAACTTTCAAAAACAACAAATATTAGACATCAATATTTTGGTTTGCTATTTGTATTTTTGTACTTTTTTTTGCGGATTTTGAAAAAAAAAATACAAATACAAATACAAATACAAACTGATTTGTATTAAAATGAATACATAATAGGAGGAGAGAAGCGAGCGAGATCGAGAGAACGAGGAGAGAGGATTGTATTTTGTATTATTTTGCATTGTATTTTATATTTATTTAATGCACAACTGTTTTGTATTCTATATCAATTGTATTCAAAATACAACAAATACAAATGTATTCATCTTCTCTTTGATTGAATACAATTGATACATAATATTGTTGACAGATAGGATGAATGCATATTATATTCGTATAAATTCAAATACAATTGAACAAAAATATAAATACAGATTTTTGAATACAATTGATGCAACATACAAAACTCTCACATATGTTTGATTGAATACAATTAATACATAATACGTTTGAATGGATTTCTTCTTATTTTCAGGAGAGAGAGGGTAATTATATTTCCTACTTAATACTTATAATGTACCACAACATAAGAAATAGAGTAATTGCGATTACATATGCATTTCTTTGTGACTTACACCTTATCCTATTATTTTTAATGATTTGCACCCTAATCTCCTAAGTTCTTTGCGAAATCATAAAAAAAATCTCCCTTTTCAATTATTTACAAGGAATAAAATAGAAAATTACATATAAAAAAAAATATAAAAGTTATTTAAATTAAAAATACAAGCAATACTAAATACAAGTAATTTGCTGCTTCTTTTTCAATAAAATGAAGAAGCAATCATTCATTTCTAGTACATTTTTAAGGGCGAACAAAATCGAACCACAAAGTACAAATTGAGTCAAATAAAAAGAAAAAAAAAAAGACTAATGATTTAGTATTGAAAAAAATACGTATATACTTTGGATCGATTTGATTTTAACTAGAAAAAGTCAATACTTGACCAAACTAATCCAACATTATATATATAATTTTTAAAATTTGTTTTATACATAAATTTTTTTGTTTAAATACAATTTACATATTTATCTTTAACTTTTTCATAATTTTTATGTTTTATAACAATTTGTTAATTATTCTATTTTATTCTTGTAAATAATTGAAAATATGAGATTTTTTTATAATTTTGTAGAAAACTAAGGAAATTAGGGGTGTAAATCATTAAAATTAATAGGATAAAGTGTAAGTCACAAAAGAACACACACATTAAGGGTGCAAATCGCACCCTAAGAGTCGCTTAGTTGTTGGTTAGAACTATGTTGATTATTAATTATACATAAATTAGATATATAATATTAGTAATGTAGGAATTAGACGATTAAGTTGAGATTAATTATAACTTAAAACTAAATTCTAGGTGTAAGTTGCAACCTTAAATATTTATGTGGATATACGTTTTGAGGGCTTACATGAGAAAACATACATAAGCTACTTGTGGTCATGACTCTCACCGTCCAACTTTTTTCCTCATTAAATCATTCTTTAATTTTGTGTTTTCTATTTTACAAGACTTTTTCTTTAATTTTCTTTTAATTTGAGGCGGCTAAGCGTTTTTGCATCGTTATATTCCTTCCGCGTTTGACTCTTTCAAATTAATGATGGAGTATAAATAATACTTTATTTTAAAAAAAAAAAACATATATCCCATTTTCTTGTTGCTAGAAGAGAATCTATCAAAGATTTGCTTTTGTAGTTTGTATAAATTTAAATTTAATTTAATTATATATTTTTTTTAATAGAAAGTTTTCTTTTTCTTGCCTATAAGAGAGTTGAAAAATTGTCTTTTTATATTCAATTTAAAAATTGAAAGAAAATTGTATCCATAAAAAATGAACATAAACTCGTAAACTATCGAAGGTAGCTATAATCATTAAGGTCTTGTCTAAGTAAACGATCGGTCAATGGAAATATGAAATGCCTAGTTGAAGGGACAAACGTGGGACAGTGTTGTACCCTAAATTTGATTTAATTAATTCAATATGCTATATAAAGAGGATGGGAGAAACAGGTATAAAAAACATAGTAAGTTGTAAATAATACAGATAAATAAATAATTAAATATCCAAGCTAAGCTAATGTACGTTAAAAAAGTAAAACCTGACCATACATCTAATGTATATATATTGAACAAATTTGATTAATTAAATAATTGTGTCATACAATATAATATGAGAATATATCCACTCATATAATGTATATTGAGCAAATTTGATAATTATGTCATACTATATAATATGAGAATATATCCACTCATATATGAGAAAAAATAGGAATATATACTTTGTTTCTATTTTGTTTGTACTATAATGTTTTCTTTATTTCCCCGTAGAGCTGCGGAAAATTAAAACATCACTGTTTTCCCACTTATTCCCATAAATATTTTGATTGAATAAATAAATTTAAAAAAAAATGTCATATCAAAAACAAAACAAAAAAATCTCACTATTTTAGTGAAAATTTGTTTTTTACCATGCATTTTTTCAATGATTTGATAGATTAAAAATAAGTTGGAAAATCATGATCTATAACACAATGTTTCCACTAATCCACAGTGGAATTTTTTTAATAGTATACCTTCATTTCCTATTTTAATTTGCTCTATCCTATGGCAAGTAATTATATGGATTAGATAAAAAAAAGTTATGTATATTCAATTAAAAAAAGCTTAAAAAATATAAGCAAGTGGATTAGTTTTTTTAGAAATAAGATTTTTTTTTATAAAACGTGCATGTGCATCATAATATATAAGGTACTGGCGTCCATGCAAGAAATAGTATTCTGACCGGCCACCATCAACAAATTAAATTACCATAATCTAGTTCTTGTTCCATAAGCATGCATTAATTTTGACCACTTCCAAGTTGCATGCCCTATTATATTTACATAACTTTTTCTGGTTTCATCTTATCTCTATGTTATAATTTACGTGATATCTTTCTAATTTTAATAATTAAATGAGTATATTCTGGTTGTGGTCTTAATATTTTAGATATCATTTGTTATGAGTATGTAGTTATAGTATCTTTTATATAGTTTTCAAATATATTAATATTATTTTGAAAAAAATGTAAAAAAATTCATTTATGAATTTATGATCAAAATAAAAAATATAAGATATAAATCTTTCAATTTTTCAATATATAAAAATCAGTTGTCTAAGCACTTCCTCTATCAAATTGATTTTATACTTTTATTTGTGATTTTTCAAACTCATTAAAACTTGATCTTGTTATTTAATCACGTCGATACAGAAAATATATACTCGGTATTGAATGGTAAAACCAACGGCTAATCGAAATCATCATGTGCGATAGATAGAGATGAATTCTTGATTTAAACTTAATTTTATAGGTCTAATCTTTGAGTGTTGAATTCACTATAGTTTTAAACTTATGAATTTAAATATATTATTTGTTTCTATTTTAGTGACTAATTACATACAATATTCTCAAAAGTTGGACGTACTGGTTTCTAGAAAAATACTTCCGAATTTATTCTCATGTTCTCTTATAGGGAACGTTTGGTTGGGAATCTCGAGGTAAGTTATTTCGAGATAAATTATTTTACTATGTATATGTGATAATTTATCACATCACTAATATATAAATAATCTCACGAGTGCCTAATAGCTCCAACTAAACACAAGATAAAATAGTCCTACATTTTATTACTAAGATAATTGTGCCTAATTATACCTTACGCTAAAAGAGGCCTAAGTTTTAAAATGCTCAGGTCAACTCCTCCCCCAAAGAATTACTACTATTATAAGAAAATTTAGCAAAAAATATCATCAAAAGAAAAACCAATGAAAGTAGTTAGAGAGATTGTACTACCTACGCCCTTTCTTGGAAAGAAGACTTTGGTTACATAAGTGGAAATATTCTGTAATATTGAAACAGTCATCAAAATGTATCAGCAACTTGGAAATAGGTGAGAATTACTAAAAACACATCACTTGATCTTAAGTTTATTTAATAAATTAGGTGTAATCGTACGTACCTATAACGTATCTAATAGAATATGTAAATTCAGATGGGCTACTATTGCTGGAAAATTGCCAGGAAGAACAGATAACGAAGTTAAAAACTTCTTTCACACACATCTAAAGAAGCATCTTGGACAGATAAAAAATAATAATAATAATAATATTGATGCCCCGGTGAAGTCTAGGAGGGCAAGAAAACCGAAGAAAAAGTCCAGCAAAGCTCAAGAAAAACCTCAATTATTTGTCGATATTTCTGAAACATGGAGTAACATGAACACTACTAATTTGATGATATCACCAATGGGTGGTTCTTCTTCACTATCGAGCAGTAGTATTATTACATTCGATCAAAATGAAAAGATTGATGAACCAAATCCGATGATTGACATGGAAAAGACGGTACTTATCTTGGAGAGTAATCCAGCTGCAACGACTACTCATCATCATCAATCATCGTCACATAGTAATATTGATTACTTCGATCAATTTGTTGACAATACTTCATTTTGGCTTTATCTACTTAATGATGCCAATCGTATTATTTTATGAAGAAGAATATTATACTATCGAGCAGTAGCATTATTACATTTGATCAAAATGAAAAGATTGATACACCAAATTCGATGATTGACATGGAAAAGACGGTACTTATCTTGGAGAGTAATCCAGCTGCAACGACTACTCATCATCATCAATCATCGTCACATAGTAATATTGATTACTTCGATCAATTTGTTGACAATACTTCATTTTGGCTTTATCTACTTAATGATGCCAATCGTATTATTTTATGAAATCAAGATTATACTAATAGATAATTATGGTCTAATCTTCAGTTACATGATGAGATGGATGTTTAGTTTAATTAATGAGATGAGATTAAGTTAACGGTGTATGAATTGGCTTTCATAGCTATGAGTTAATATATCAATGATGACAAGGACTTTAGTATGAGTTGTATGTGTATATTATATGATCTATCTATTTATACGATCGATCACGATGAATTATGAGCTATATAATATACTCTTTCTGTCTCAATTTATGTGGCATAGTTCAGATTTCGAGAGTCAAACAATTTTAGTTTGACGGTAAATTTAGACATGAAATCTTTAAGTTTTTTGAAATAAAATTTATATATTTAAAAATAATTAAAAGATATATGAAAATTACGATAAAAAATAGACTTATTTAAATGTTAAAATCTAATATAAATTAGAATGGAGGAAGTATGTGTATGGAGTCTCTATTCACTAGTTAGATGGTATAGATCATCACTTTACTACTTCTTCCTTTTTCATTTTATGTGTCTGAATTTAATTGTACGAAGTACGAAAGAATTTTTGAAAGTAAGGATTTTCATTAAATTTTGTATACTTAAACTCTAGAGGGGTGTAAATTGTAATGTACCATAATGATCTTAAACATGATATGTTTGTAATTAAAAAATTAGTAAACACAAATAATAGTACTCTTCTTATATTTCAATTTGTTTGTCTTATTTTATATTTTTAGTTTGTTAGATAAATATTTTTTTTTCCTTTTTTGATAACTCTTTAATTCTGACTTTTCTCATGATATGTTTAAAACTATAATATTAAAAGACCTTTCTTAATTCTTTTTAGTTTTCCATCCGGTATTCGATACTTGTATTGGGACCGACTAATTAAATCCCTACTTCCCACTCTCTACCGCAACCCTTGATGATGATTAAAGGGCATTTTGATTATATTCTACAAATCTTTAGTTTTAGTCCACAAAATTTAAAGACTTTTTTATCATCTTAAATTTCGTGTCAAATTAAAAGTAGACAAATAAATTGAAATAAAGGGAGAAATATTTTTTTAAACGAAATAAAGTAAGACATATAAATTTTAAAAAAAGTATTAATTTTTTTGGGCATGGAGATATATATATATATATATATATATATATAATATACTAGTTTTTTGACACGTGCGTTGCACCTGATTATCAATTCGAAAAATATATGTTATAGTAAATAGTATTGCTTATTTAAGTGAAGATTTGAATAATAAGCTTAGCAAAAAATAATATTGTAGCTAGATTCTTTTGTAATGTTCAATGTGGATCCCCATATATATATCTTATTCACGCAAACCTATGAAGATGGTCAATGAAATATTTTATTAGTTAAATGCAATAATGTATATATTTATTTCAATTTGATGAGGTTCAATAATGTAATTAGTCTTATCTCACTAATATTACCTTATAGACAATATTTGTTTTGTATTTTTCTTGTCATCTAACCAGATGTCCTTTGTCATGTGTATTCTACGTTAAATTGTTTAGATGTCATATGAACATGTGAAGAGAACAACTACATTTTATATATTCACATATTTTCACATTTGTTGTGTAGTTTTTTAATTTAAAAAAAGAACTCGGAACATTTTAAAATAATATATTTTGAAGTTAGAAGATCTTGTTAACTTGATAATACATTTGTGACATATATAATACTTTAATTTAAACACAAATACTTATCCAAATATAAATATATATTTGCATTAATGAAAATATTTATCTCATAAAATTTGCGATTAAATAAATAATAAAAATTAAACTAATATTAAGAAATAGTAAATAAGTAAAACAAAATGACAATGTTTATATAGTAATAACTATTTTGAAGCAAACATGCTCAGAGTCTAAATCACATAAGTAGCATTGATAAATAAAGTCATTCTTTTGGCTTGAACATCAAAAATAAATCGTGACAATTTTCTAAATTTTGGAAAAAGATATTCAGAAGCATATATCTACATCACAAGAGAAATTGTTAACAAAAACAAATGAATTTAGACTAAATCATGTTAACTTTATATATTGGAACATTACATACTAATGTATATATTAAGCAAAAATAATTATTTTATCATCAAAATTATTTTTCTCAAGTACTTGAGGTTATGGAATATACCCTCTTAGGATAGAACGACTTACTTCATCAGAATAGTGGTACCTCATATTCGAACTCACTCAACGATAATAAATCACACAAAAAAGATTAAAATGCAAGAAGAAGAAGAGTAGAAGATTAAAAAAAATTGTGGTTGAAAATGAGAGGAAGTCCCTCTATTTATAGTCAACAAAGGGTAGTATGAACAAATATTTTTTGTATCTTATCTGAAAAGTCATGACCTTTCGGAGAAATCATAATGCTTTGAAAAAGTCACAACTTATTAAAAAAGTCGCAACTTATTAGAAAAGTCACAACTCATAGAAAAATCACAACCCTTTGAAAAGAGTCATAACTTATCGAAAAAGTCACAACTCATCAAAAAAATCACAAGCTAAATTAGGAATATTATAGTAATTTAACATTCAAGTTAGGAGTTCATGCTTAAAGTAAATATATATATATATATATAGTACACCTGGCAGAACATGAAAGCTAAAGATAATTTTTCATGTAAACAAAATTGAAGATAAAAGGAATAAGAAGCTCTGAGAGGAAAGTTCCAAGTATATTTGCTAATCTGATGGTCAAATAATCATATTTTTTTTAACCAAAAGTTACTCTAATTAAAGTAAAGGCAAAACTTTAAACAATAGAACAAATGAAGCAGTCCTTTTTTTTTATTAAAGAGAAAAATGAAATTTTGATCTAATTATACTATCAATCTTAAATCAATTCTTTTGAAAAAGGTTCAGTGGACATTTTTTTCCGTATGAATGAGACGAAAAACAACAAAAATAAATCTGACTATATAGGTGTATTCGTTACAAACAAAATGTTGTCTAAAAAAATAAGTACGTTTCTTCCTTAATTTTTTTGTGCTTGGTTTGTGAGCTAGAAATATTATCTCATGGTAGGGGTAGCAGGGTGGTGGGCATGGGGTTCACGGAAAGTGAGAATAAAGATGAAGTGTGTTGAATAGCGGAAATGACACAATCAATATAATATGAGAATAAAGATGAAGTGTTTTTAAAACTCTCTGTCTTTTTGTTTTCTCATATTGAATGAAGAAAAAGTTGGTCTTGCAAACTACTGTATAAATGAAGAGGAAATATTATTTGTGAAACTGGTTTTCTCTACCTTCACTTAAAAAAAAAGGAATTTTATTCATTTTTAAAAATTTATCAAACACATGAACACATCATATATTAGTACGGATATTATGAATGAACTTCCCAAGTTCTTAATTTTTTTCGTCAACAAGTAAATCTTGAAAACAATGAACACTATATTAAATAAATATAAACTTATTATTGTCGTACATAGACTATTGTTTGAAAGATTAATTTTAATTTTAATTTTAATTTTATTAGAGGAATAATAGGTTCCTCTGTTTTATTTTATATATTTAAAATTGACGAATATTATGAATGAACTTCCAAGTATAATATATCAAAATATCTTTCAAATTTTATGGCTTTAAACAAGATATATAAGATGTTGAAATTGAGAAGTTGCTAATTATAGAAAACGAACATTATTTTAAACATTTTTTTAAAAAAGTAAGACATATTGAAACCTTGAAATGATAATTCATTGGATAAGCATTTAATTGGTGCATAATCAGCTGGTATTTCAAAATTAAGAATTAAAAATGGAGAAATGTCCTGGTATTTCTTTTGAATAATTTACTAGATCGTATTGGAATGGGAGGAGACCATCTACTCCCACTAACTTTACAACTTTATAATTATAAATCAACATTTTTATGCAAATCACAATTTCTTTATTTAAAAGAAATCATAATGACTTCTGGGAAGGCACATTTTAGATTCTCTCAATCTGCATTACAGTCTTTAAATCACTGCTTTTAGTTGCTAAGGTATTGTGTACTTTGCACTACACTAGTTATTTATTTGATTAATAAAATAAAGACTTTGAGAGATGGTTATTTCTAGGTAACTAATCTATTTTCAGAACTGACTAATAAAAAAAATTAAAAATAGTGTTTAGAATTTAAATTTTATGGTTCTAAATTCTACAGTAATGACTTCATACGTTAGTAACTGATTTCGAAACTTATTTATTGAACATAATTTTAATATAAATATAAAGTTTGAATTAAAGTTATTAGATACGGTTACCATTCATTCCAAATTTGCTATGGTGGTGTATACCACAACATTTTGGAGAAAATTCCAACTACTTTCTGTATGTGTGTACACACAAGAAACAAGTTCTTTAGTAATTATGCCAGTAGTAAGTGTGAAATAAAGTAAAATAATATTTTAAAAAATTCAGTGGAAAAACTCCTCTCACACACTTTTTTTTTTTTGAGAAAGTCCTTATAACTCAAAAAAAATCTAATACAAATAATTACTAGGAATATAAATAGTTGCAGTTAAAGCTCAATGGATATATTTGAGATACAACAGTACTCATTTGTATCATTAAAATAGATATAACATTTATTTTAATGTCAATAATTATGTTTCAATTATTTTTAGTTAAACTAAAATCATAGGCATACATTTCAATTCAAATAGTTTAACCTAACATAAAATGCATCCCTAATATATTGGAAACAAAACAAGAATATTTTTAAGAATACGACCTCAGAGGT